TTAATCTGTTTGTCCTAGTTTTTGAGTTACTCTGTAGGAAATGTTGACATGGTAATGATAAATCATAATTATGAGAATCTTTAACGTTAGAGATGAATTGTTACTGGGTGTCACATCTGAGTGCATAAGGTTAGTAGGAACACATCGCATTGTAGGATTCGTAGTTTGCAATTGGAGGATAAGACCACAAATAGAAGTTCTGTGTCGGCTTTAGAAAGAGAATTGGACTAGTCCAGAAAGAGAGGGTGAGGTAAATTAATGCTTCAAAATGACTAATCTACTCTTTAGATCCCAGTCTCTATTCCTCTCATTGTTTAGGAAGTGGATTTTGAAATCTTGTGAAGTGTACAAGAAGTTTATCAATGTTGGGATGAACAACAAGAACAGCGGACAAAAATACATCTCCAACAAATATGGCAAGCACTACTCCAAACGAAAATAAGCCAACACAAATATATAAAAGACGAGAAAGGAAAAAAACACAAAAATTAATAACGAAGTTCGGTAAATATTGCCTACGTCTCCGGGCACCGCCAACGCCAAATTTACTAAACTCACCAACAAAATACAACTAGGGTTAAATAACCCACAAATTAGGATTTTCTTAAATAAAGATTTCCTTCTAAGAGAGGAGAGAATAGGATAAGGTGCAATTATAACTCAAAGCCAAGGTACCTATTTATACTAATAAGATTCTACACATATTTGGTATACATTCGATGTGGGACAATAAATTAATAAAAAACTAACAGTTAATAATTTGTTAATTGGGTATTACTCCATCAGTTGAAATGTGATAACAAAGCCGTTTGTCTAAATGAAGATTTTACCCTTTGTTGATACCCTATTTGGCTCCGATTAATTAAATAATAAATAAAATAATGAAATCCGGCCCAACAACCAAGGAGCCGAAAATATGTAACAACCAAGCAGGTCCTCAAGACAGGTCAACCAAAAGCCGATCGGATCTATAGATGTCGTGTCCGCCCACTACCGATCCGGACAGAGTTTAAAGTAATCGGATGACCCACGTATCAGGAAAAAGCCGCCGTCGGTAAATGCGACAATTACCGAGAAGAGAGACGTCGATTGGAACCGTCAAAAGTCATAAACGGACCCACAGTGATTATCTCATGTTAAATAGTGATGTGCTATTTTTTACTTATTTAATTGTCCACTTGCAACAGAGAGAGGGGTATATATATGTACAAACGAGGAGAGAGAATGGGCCCTCTCTTCATTCTTCTCCTCCCAACAACAAAAAGAGGAGAAAAGTCCTCTCATGGAATACAAAGGAAACGTCCATTTTACTCATCTTGTTCTTCATTTTACATACAATAGATGTAAACGCCCATTTTATAATACAAAAGAAACGCCCATTTTATTCATTTTCAGCAGTTGATCGTCCGATTTTCGACATCAACACCCTTTTAACTGGTGTATTACAATACTTTGTTAAAAGTGTACAATAAAATTCATCAATACTTTGTTAAAAGGGTCTTTCAATCTCTGTCTGTTGAATCTTGATATATGAAATGAAACAAGGATCACTAGCCCTTTATCTCTGTAAGGGTTATAAAAAGTATAACTTATTTTGTAGTTTGAAATTGAATTTCCACATTTTTCTTATATTTCTTTTGGGCTGGACACATGGAATATATTACCTGATTTTTGTGTCCTTCACAGGAATCCCCATTATCTTGTAACTTTGGAAATCTAAAAAATTTAACTAAAAAACAAATCTAAATGTGTAAAGTGTACTGTCCATAAAGATAAACTCGCTTGAGGTTGTTTACATGGCAGATGAAGTTTATGCATTCACATCTATGGTCAATGGGAAACTGGAGTTGACCAGTTGTTTGATTCAAACCTTGTGAAGCATTTATTATGCAGTCCCAGGCAGAAAGAATTTTTTAAATGGATTAAGGGAGGTATTGTTTGGTGAAATAGTTGCTAGAAATTTTTTAATTGCATTATTTTTAATTGGTCCAGCACCATTGCAGGGATGTTGCCAAGTAGTATCTAAGTCATGTGAATTGCTGATTAATCTGCAGAGATTGGCTTGCTTAGTTTAGGATTTTCAATCTAAAGCATAATATTCTTATTTTGTGTATCGTCTTTTCTTTAACATTTTCTTTGTAATAAAATTTGATTTTTAAATTATCAAACTTCTTTTTTTTGGTGGGTTAATCTCCGTTATTGACACCTCTAAAGTGGACAACAAAGATTGTCTTTTATCATTCTTGAGGAGTCTAGGACTCAAAAGATGAATCAAATATCAATTCTTGTGGAGAATATAAACAAAAAAATCCAATATAAACAAAAAGTAAAAAAGAGATGAAAAAAACTAGAGAAATACCATTTTTTTTTTCTCTTTTCCTTTACTAATCAGCACAATTTACCTGCATTGACTTTGAACTCTAGAGGAAACTGTTTGAACTTAAGAAAATGGAAAACACAATCAATCATCTTCATTCATGAGGAAAAAAAAAAACTTATCCTTCCACAATGTTGTGTGTCTGATAATCATCATTCCTGCACCTGTACTCTGTATCTTTGATACACTTAAGTCTAAACAATGTTGTTTTGTTCCTACAATCCTCAACTGCAATAATAATTTCTCATTACACTCTTCTTAATAACTTCAATCCTACTCTACTCAAAAGTCAAAATACAAACACACACACACACACACAAAAAAAGAATATGTTTTACTCAAACAGGAAGAACAGCACTTCTTGCTCCCCTCCCCTGCCCGCCGAACGAAAAGATCGACCTCCGGCTTCTGCTCCCACTTTCCCGCTCAATCTCCCGTAAAATCTCTTGTATGGACAAATAAACTCTCGGGTCCGTGGCAGAATCCATCGAGAATGACCGCCTGATCGGCTCATTCACCCTCACATCAATCCCTTCATCTCCCATAACCGAAACCCCACGAATAACTTTCCTCTGCGGATTAGTCCCCTCTTGCGGGCTGCCTATCACGATTTCCAGTAAATCATTATCTGGATTGAAGTCCTGCGGTGAGGAAGTTGGGGCCACGATAGTCTCGGGCCCGGCCCGATAATACCTGTTCCGGCCCGAAATAGCCGACCTGCAAAGCGGGCAGCTGGCGCTACTCACGAGCCATATGTCGATGCAGTCGAGATGGAAAGCGTGGCCGCATTTAGGTAAGACGCGAAGCGTTTCTTGATTCTGAAACTCGTTCAGGCAGACGACGCATTTGGACGAGTTGATGGATAGTTGGTGTGGGGTGTAACGGACGGTGGGGATGTTGCGGATGAGGAGCTCGTCGAGCCCTCGGTTGGGCCATGTGGGGGAAGGGGAAGTTAGGGATTCGCGGGTTGCCGGAGGGGCTCGCCGGAAAGTGGGGGCCGGCTGCCACCGGAAGCGGAAGCAGCAGTTGGTGACGAAAATGTAGTAGGCGACGAGGAGGAAGGCGGTGGTGGTTATGCCGAGTACTGCCACCGCCAGCATTGGGAAGTCGCCGGCGGGTGGTGGCGGAGGCGGCTGGCCGGAAAATGAGCAGTGGCTGCTGATTGGGGGGAGAGGCTGTGATTGAGACTGTAAGTTCTGTAATGTGGACATGAGAGGATTTTTTTGGGATTGAACAGTGAATGTTTGTGGTTTGGGATTAATAGAGAGAGAGAGAGGTTTGGGGGTGTATAAGTGTATTAGGTTATGAGTTCTTGAAAAGTCAATCCTAATGAAAAGGAATAAAACAGATTGATTTGAAAAAAAATAAATAAAAAAATGGGTAATTAACAATGGTTTAATGGGGTAACCTTTGAGTGGATTAGTGCATGTGCTTGAAGATGCTGAGACATAAACATGGGATTTGATGAGAAATGAATATATTTGATTGACTCCAAATGTGATAATTTGACATTTTGTAGCTTCAAGTTATGAGGGACGATGGTTGCATATCTTTTCACACGTAGTTTTTTATTTATTAGTTTATTTTTGTTATTGACATCTTAGTTGTTAATGAGAGCTTGACTTGACTTGATATGCATGTACTGTGTGCCTTTGTTCTTGGCTTTTTACTTGGTTGAAACTTGAAAGTCAAATTATTTTGTTTTTGAAGATTTGCAACTTTTCTTTTTATCTGTTTATTTAAACAGTCTAATGACAGTATGGGATTATGATTTGGGGACCATTGATTACATTTTTTGCAATTCAGATATTTGGAAAAATCAATTAAATGTTTTCTGAAATTAAAAATAAAAAATAAAAAAATAAAATGCCCATGTGAATGATATTTAATTTTAGATTATAGAGATGGTTTTGAAAAAGTAAAAATTAGCATGATGCAAATATGCAATGCCATTTTGGCAACAGGCAGAGTGGCCCATTAATAAAACCAGCGTGGGCGACCTCATGAGCACTCTTCTTTTTACGCTTTTGCATGTCAGGAAGTTGATAGCAAGTTGAAAAAAAAAAAGAATAAAATATATTGGTAAAAAGTATATCTAATCAATTATATTTACATTTTTGTAGGGAAAATAACACATAGTTGCATGAAATGCTTTTGTATTAATTTCACAAAATTGTGCCTGCAATTTGTAAAATAGAAACACTAGTCAAACGGCAAAATTGTACTTTCGGTGGACAATTGGCAATTTTATTTATTTATTTTTTTACAAGATGTATTTGTAATCCTAGAAAACCAATTGAGATTTACTTAATAATTAGGCTAAGCGTGTGATTGCGTCCAAAGAGTGCTTTGACTTTGTATCTTGCTAAAATTTTGGAGCTGACTTACTTGTACTATAATTTTTTTAGAATATTTTATTAAGTTAAAAAAATACGTATATATATTTATGTGATAAATATTTATTTTGCGATATAATTTTATTAACACTTTGATGTATAAAACTTACTCATACAATAATTATTTATTTTTGTTATTTTTATTTATTTTATATAATAAAATATTATATACATAATTTTAAAATTTCAAAAAATTAATTACCCGATCCAACAATTAACTCAGTGCACGACGGATGATCCCGTGACCCCAAGAGCTAGTCGGTCAATTCCGAGCCGGGTTAAAAATTATTGTTGGAAAGTGTCGGATCATTCGGAAATTTTATATAAATAATTTACGGTACTAGTTTATTTGAATTACGTTAATGAACTTAAGATGAAGGGAACGCAAATTGTTCGTTAAAAAAACGAATGAAGAACATTGAAAATTGTAATTCATAAATTTCATTATAATTCAAAATAGATAAATTTATAATATATTTGTGTCAATAAATTGAACACACCAAAATTTTTGCACTTATTATTCCCAAAAAAAAAAAAAATGTTTGTATCGAGTCTGATATGAAATAATGTACCAGATTGGACCCAGGAAACATCAAAACTGAATTGGGCGAACTAGCAATCTGAACGGGAGATTAAAGACTTCTCAGGTCGAATAGGATGTCACAGATTTAGAGAGCACCGACAAGTCGAATTACGTCCCATGGGTGGCTTGGTTAAAGTTCGACCTGAAGATACATCTGGTCGTAGGATCGACCAGGCGAACGGAATATGGGTGCTGGAGGTCAGTGATACACTACCTCGAGGTAATCGGGGTCGGTCGGATTAGACCGTCTAACGAAAAATACTCTCACGTGGATGACTTAACAGAATTGGGCAGCTTGGGCAGTATGAACGGACAGTCTGGGCAGCCCACTCAGTCCTGCTTGGACAATAAAGTATCATCTCCCTATATAAGGGAGTGATGTATGTCCACTATTACATTAGATTCTATACTATCTCTACATACTTACAACACTTCATCTTTTACACAATGCTAACATAAGCATTAGAAGCACTTCACCTAAAAATCTTCTAGTGTGAGAGTTTTTGCAGGTCTCAAGGGCATGCAACCGGCGATGAGCTCAAACCAGGTCAAATCTAACCGATCAAAGGTCTTTTGTGTACCAGGGTCAAATCATTGTAGTCTCTTAAAATGAAGTTGTTTTACATGTTTCCTATAATTTTGCAAAAGTGCAACAATAAAATATATCTATATAATGAGTTATCAACTAAAAAACAATGAAATTTTAGACTCGAATCTAAAAATAAAAAACAAATCATTTATTCATAAATAGTATGAGTTCGATAAAATTCATAAATATGAAAAAAAAAAAAAATGTTGGTGAGTAGGCATTGACCCGGTCCATTAACCGCCACTGTCAGTTGTATAACCTCACCCCAGGCCCAAGCAGTTCTGTTTTGTAGGGAAAGGACATAACCGCATTCAAAAAAGGTCAGAGAGTGTACTTAATCCTGTTTTGTATGATGTCTACTGTCACAAGCCCATTAGGTTTTATCCAGTTAACATATATTGATCCAGTGGTATTAAGCTAATAGAAACCCAATTATATCTCCAACACAACAATTTACCCATCCATTAAACAAAACAAATTAATAGTAAAAAGAAGTTTGAGCTTACCATGAAAAAACTAGGATTTTTTTTTTTTTTTTAATAAATCTAGGAAGTTTTTATAATAATTATAAATCTTTAAATTTATTGATTGTTTGACGAAGACAAGTACAAGACCTAGTCACACATTTAGGGAGGTTGTGACATTTCAATGAAACGGAAATGCTAAGGAGCTATCCGATGGTTCCGTTATGGAGCCATCGGACCATGTGACATCACATGGGACAATAAAAGTGTAAGTGTGGGTCATATTTTTTTTGTCCCATATAGGGCTGTACACGAGTCGAGCGGCCGCGAGCGCTCGAGTCAAAGCTCGGCTCGAGCTCGAGTTTGACCGAACTCGAGTCGAGCTCGAGCGACTCGAGTACGAACTCGAGTGGAGCTCGAGCCCAAATTTTACATTGTCGAACGGCTCGCGAGCGGCTCGAGATATATAGTAAATTACTAAAATACCCCTCCTATATATATAATTTGACAAAATTATTTGAAAATTTTCGAACCGAACTCGAGCCGAGTCGAGCATTTTGAATTCGAGTCGAGCTGAGCTTATTGTATTTTCTTATCGAGTCGAACTCGAGCCTAAAAAATCGAGCTCGAGCAGCTCAAAAAAAAAATTCAATCCTGCTCGAGAAGGCCAATGCTCGACTCGGCTCGGCTCGTTTGCAGCCCTAGTCCCATGTGATGCCACATGGGTCCGATGGCTCCTTAGCATTTCCGTTTAATTTTCAACACAAATTTCCAATAACTAAGAATAATATATATATATATATATATATATATATATATATATTGAGAATAAAATACCATCCAGCTCTCATATTCACGGTGATCTCACACACGTTACTATGTTCACCTGTGACGGAAAATTAACATATCATACATGATTGATACAATGTTATTAAATTTTATTTGCAATATGAACATGATAATTATATAGCAATGAAATAATAAATAACATTAGGAGACTCGGAGACTATACATCCCTAGGAAGCTACTGAAATTAATTAATCGAAATTACTGTATTGTCACGGGCGGCGCCCCAAAGTTAATGTTAAAGTAAAGAAAATCAAGCTTTTCTCAAGTAGAATCTTTGACTAATTAAATCTCTTCTTGGAAGCAAAATTATTGAGTAAAATCTTTGCCTTAATAGTTAACTAGTACAGTCCCCGTGCGATGCACGGGAGTTTATTATCTCTATCCTTTTATAAAGCAATGTTCAATTAAAATTCAAATTACTTACTAAAAGAAAGATCATGCCATTAATAATAAATAAATTAATAAATACAATGATAATAAAATCTATATATTATTGAATACTTCCTTATATACAACGTTCATGATTTGATTCTTTGGCACGTCATCGTCGCCACAAATTAGGACTTTCAAACACATTTCTGTTTGTGACACGGGAGACAACACCGTTCGTTGGGTCAAAAAAGTCACGAATCGAACAAAGGGTCCGTCATTAGCACTTGTTGAATTGGTCTTCGGCAATAACTTCGGAGTCGTTCAAATAGAAGTAATAAACTGATTCAACGCATACAATTGGCCATGACTAAACACTGGTTTTTTAAGAAAATAAGCCCACATATGATAATGATTGTTCCTGGCTCTTATTTATAGTCATGTCGTAAGAAAACATAATTGTAAACAATCAATCCAATAACATCTACAAAAATATAAGAAAATGCATCATATTGAAATTTATAACATATAAAATAGTTTATTACAGATTTTAAATTTTAAAAAAAATAAAATAAGAAATAACCAAAAAAATTATAACGTACCAAACAACATGGCTTCATCAATGTTACGAACATCCATTAATGTTAGAAAGTTCCTAAAGTCAAAACGATACATAGAAAAATCACCCCTCCATTTGATAATCTTGGTTTGACAATTGATAATGATCCTCTTTTTTCCTATCGTCGATTTATGGATGTCAATATTGCTTTCCCTTTGATAGTTTGTCAAGATATAAGCGCCACCTTCTTCAATATCACCGATGATTTTTTGGATATTGACAGGTCGAATTATGCCAGTAATTCGTCCTCCCCAAAATATTGCATAATGAATAATTCAATAAATAAATTATAAAAGATGTTGCATAAAATGATGCATTTAAATAATAATAAAAGAATATATTACCTTAAAATCGTGAAAGATAATCTCAAGAACATTTCGGTAATTGCGTACGTCTTCAACTCGTTGGAACATCCTAATTATGCGTAGCTTGATTGGTGGCTTATTGGATCTTTTGATATCCTTCATTACTCCAAAATCCGAAGCCATTTTCAATGGTGATGTAAAAGATTGTAGAAAAAATTATTTTGTGGGATGTATTGGATGTCAAATACTTTTTGTTCAATGATGGTGATGTTTATATAGTCATGTGTATGTGCCATATGTCTGGGAAATAAAAAAATATTTACGTAAGGTATTTAATATGATCCGATCTGATTTTTTTTATTATGATTATGATTGACTTCTAAAAATATGTTTTATCGGTTTTGTTAAAAAAATAAATAAATATGGAACGTGATTCACTTGTGAGGGACGAACGAATATTTAAAAGATTATGTAGCCAAAAATAATGGAGTTTGTTACGATGAAATTTGGTAAGACTTTTTGGATAGATTGAAAAATATTATTTTTTTTTTATATTTTCCTATTTATTTGGACAAATCCAAAACTTTAATTTACGAAATTATAATCTTTAATTTTTTGAAACGTGTAAAATTTTCTAAGATAACTTCTATAAAATAAAATATGATCAAATCATAATTGATTTTTATGCCTCAATATTTCAAATCTAACCATACAAATATGGTATAATTATTTACTATTAATATTTTATTTTTTCAAACGTGTGATTCTCTTAGGTTTATATGAAACAAAGTTCAATCAAATCAAAATTAATTTTTATGCCCACACTAAAACTTTATCAATATGATATGTTTATTTTATTTATTTATTTATTTATTTATTTTCAAATCCACAACTCAAATTTTCGAGAGAGAGAAAAAACAGGAAACAAAATCTTATCAAACCTTATCAAATTTTCGAGAGAGGAAAAAAAAACAAAAAAAATTGGAAACAAAATCTTATCAAACCTTATCAATAATGAAGATCCATGAAAAGCTAACAAAATCCCGTGGTTACCAAAATCCTATCAAATTAGTTAACAAAATCCCATTAAATTGGTTAACAAAATTGGAACGCATTTTGTTAGGAAAGATTTACGTAATTTATCTATCTAATTAGTATCATATTAACGTGTGGGCCCAGTGATACTAATTTAGTATAACATCCATTATCTCGGAATAATTTTTTGTTTGATTTACAACATTAATTTGAATGGAAAAAAAATCCGTAATTGTTGAGATATCTCAATTCAAAATCTAAATTTTTTGGCATAAGAATCTTCAAATTTATTACCAATAAAAATAGATTCCTATGGGATTAATATTTAAAATGAGCTAAATCTTTGGTATAAGAATCTCCAAATTTGTTACCATAAGAATTTTCAATTTGTTACCATAAGAATCTCATAGAAATCTCCTATGGATTGAGTTTATCAATATTTAGTATAGCATCTATTATTCTCGGAATATTTTTTTGTTTGATTTACAACATGAATTTGAAGGGAAAAAGCCTGAAATTGTTAGGATATCTTAATTCAAAATCTCAATTTTTTGGCATAAGAATCTCCAATTTATTACCATAAGAATCCCATAGAAATCTCCTATGGGATTGGAGTTTATCAATATTTGGTATAACATCCATTATTTTTAGAATAATTTTTTGTTTGATTTACGATTTACAACATTAATTTGAATGGGAAAAAAATTCCGTAATTGTTGGAATGTCTCAATTCAAAATCGTAATTTTTTGGCATAAGAATCTTCAAATTTGTTACCAATAAAAGTAGATTTCTATGAGATTAATATTTAAAATGAATTAAATTTTGGTATAGGAATCTCCAAATTTGTTACCATAAAAATCTCCAATTTTTTTGGTACATGTGTTTTTTCCGAAATTTCCACTAATAGTAAGTCAAGCCATTTAATTTTTTTAATCGAACTTACTATAAAAATATTTTTCCAACAACCTCTTTATATTATTATAGATTATAGATTGTGCATCTCGGTTTTATATAGGGACGCAATTAAGAGTGTTTGAATCAAGCTGGGCCACCAAAAAAATAAAATAAAAAATGAATTTACGCATATTTAATTTGGGTGCAAAATAAGATTATTATGGAAGCAAATCAACTTAGCTTTTTATTTTTATTTTTTATTTGTATCTAACAACTTTCTCTATTTTATTTTTTTATCTGTCTACTAACAAGTAACAACTTTCTCTATTTTATTTTTTTATCTGTCTACTAACAAGTAACAACTTTCTCTAACTACTTGATTTGGGATCTGTTTATATTATATTATTATATATATATATTAATAATATATATATAACATATTCCCCTAAAATTACTTGTCGAGCATGATTTCAGTCTATCCACCTTAAAGTCCACGAAGAGATTTTGATTGCAACTTTTTCCTAAAGTTGGATAATACAAGATTAAATTATAAACACATTATTCTCACTCATTCATATTATGGATACATGAATGTCACGTTGTTAGCTTATTAGCATCTACATTAATTGTTGGTAAACACTACATAATTACATAAGTATAAATTCCCCTTATCCCGTCCCGCTATATATTAATTCAGAATGTGTTGAACTTAAGTAGCAGGCTCGCATGCTTCGGGATCCTATGTGGCAAAATTACATGATTCGTATTAGGCTTGGGTAGATTTTAATTTATTTCCAATCAAAAAATAATTAGGTTTGGATTATCCATACATATGTTAATTATTTATGGTCATGTTATATGTATTAATTGTATTTTAATCTCATTTCTTATTATAAACATTGAATTGTAAATGTATTTTAAAAGTTAATAATTTTTGTATTTCTTATCAGTTTTACATATATAATATATCAAATTAATCATCTCTTGATGAGTTTCGATTTAACATCCATATTGTATGTATAAAAAAATAAATTATATTTATCTTTATAACAATAATAATTTTTTTTAATATTAATTAAAAAAAATTATTTATCAATTAATATATTTATATTTTAAGTAGTCATATGATATAAGTTATAAAAATTACTATAATATAACACATGTAAGTCGTACATGTAACACATGTCATTCTAAAATATATAATAATAATTATTTTCTGTAAAAAAGTAAATAAATTTTAAAATAATTTTTCTCATTAATTTAAAATTTAAGAATAATTTTTTAACAAGCACCCGTGTAATACACGGGTATTGTACTAGTATATTATTATTCATATCTATTGAGCCTAAGTGACAGACTTAGGCTTGGATATATATATTTTAATTTACTTCCAATCCAAAAATAATTAAGTCCGGATTATCTATAAAGATGTTGATTATCTATGGTCATGGTACATGTATTAATTACATTTTAATATCATTTTTTTATCATAACCATTGAATTGAAAATATATTTTAAAAGTTAATAACTTTTGTAATTTTTATCAGTTTTACATATATAATATATCAAATTAATTATCTCTTGATGAGTTTCAATTTAACATCTATATTGTATGTATAAAAAAAATAAATTATATTTATCTTTATAGCAATAATAAAATTATTTTTTAATGTTAATTAGAAAAATAAAATTATTTATCAATTAATATATTTATATTTCAAGTAGTTATATAAATATATAACTACTTGAAATATGAATATTACTAGATAATGATAACTATAAAAAAAAATAAAAAATTATAGTTTGAGGGTTGATTGGTCAATCAAGTAATAGTGGCTAGATTGAACACATTACGGTAAATTCTAAAATGAATATAAAAGAATCTATACAAGTAGTTGCATCCCCAAATAACAAGTTCCACCTCAACTTTTCAAGTCAATTGCAAAACTAATATTATTTTGATAGATGCTTCGAGATTTTATCTGTCAGGATGAACTATAAAAAAAAAAAAAATAAATAAAAATCGTTAATCGGCAATGTACATAGGTGACTAATCACGGTGTGCCCGAAGATTTCATGGGTGAGGCTTGCAAGGTCATGGAAGAATTGTTCAGTTTGCCAGTGGATGAGATCTCAAATGATGCTAATGAAAATGGTTGGGTGTATATGGGCAGCACAAGTTTTGCCACAAAATTAGGTGCCCATTTGTGGAGAGACAACCTCAAACACACATGCCACCCTTTGGAACAATCCATGCAAAATTGGCCTCAAAATCCTAAACGATACAGGTATATATATATCTCACGAGTTCAAATGTTTTCGAACATTCATAAGTACGCACAATTTACTTTTTAAATAATAACCTGAAGGGAGGTGTATTCATTCACGATTATAGTTATAAGTCTGTTTGAGATTTTAAGATACAATTTCGAGAAATTCAAACTTTGAATTAAGTATTGGATTACTTTGTAATAATAACATGGCGGAGGTGTACTCGTTCACGATTTAAGTTATAAGATTGTTTGAGATTTTAAGATAGTTTTTTCAGTACTGCGTACAAATAACGATTTTGAGAAATTCAAACTTTGAATTAAGTATTGGATTTTATGTATATAGAGATGTTATGGGGGTATACATAGTGGAAATAAGAAGATTGAGTTTGAGAATCTTGGAGTTGATTTCTCAAGGATTAGGGCTCGAAAAAGGGTACCTTGAAGAAATGAGTCGAGTCCAATTTTTGACGGCGAGCAACTACCCAGCCTGCCCTGACCCGAGTTTGACCTTAGGGATTCTCAAGCACTTTGACCATAGCCTCATAACAATCTTGTTCCAAGGGAGTTGTGGTGGGCTTCAAGTGTTGAAGGGTGACAAGTGGATTGGTGTTGAGGTTGTTCCTAATGCCTTTGTTGTTAACATTGGCACCCAAATTGAGGTACACACACAAATGTCTAAATTTGAAGTCATCATGCAATAACTTAATGTTACTTTTTTTTTTTTGGTTATTTTTTCCCTGTAGATTATAAGTAATGGGAAGTTGAGAAGTGCACAACATAGAGTAGTGACAAGTAAAGAAGGTTCAAGGACAAGCATTGCAAGTTTCATTAATCCAAGCCCAGATTGCATAATTGAACCAGCTAAAGTTTTGGTGAATGAGTCAAATCCTCCTCTTTATCAGCCTACCACATTTAAGGATTTTGTCAAGGCTTTCAAGCCCTTTGGCCCTTTCACTAATCTTGTTCAACATGGTGTGTCTTAGAGTGTTTTTAATTTAATTTTTTATATATATGTCATTTTTGAATTCTATGTTTTAGTTTGGTTTTGGTATAAGGATTACTTTTTGAGGTATTATAAGAAAAGAAATTAAGTTTTTCTTCTTGTTTTCCTCTTTTGCTTAATCATATTGAGGGGAATTATATAATCGTCTAGGTGTTGTGCGATTTTCGGGACCATAAGCGAAGAAAAAGGAATAAAAAACTATGATATTTTATGATTTTTTTTATTGCAAGTCATAACAGATCAAATCTATATAATACTTAAATATAATGATGCCGACGAGATAGCAGATTCGAGGGCGAATCCTCTCCACCCGGGAGAGAATGATGCCGACGAGATTGCATTAGCATATCTCGACAAATATGATCCACTTCGGCCTTTATTGTGAATGTTATTATATTTATTACTAGTATTTATGTTTATTTTTTATTTATATTGTGTTGGGCTTGTATTATGTGGGCTTTTATGTTTAAGTGGATATGACTTGGTGAGATTATAAATATGTACGTATGATATCATATATGAGCAGTTATGATTTTATGAATTGAATCAGAAAAGAAAAGAAATACGGTTTCTTTCATTCAGTACAGAGAAGAGATCTTCTCTTTACACATTCAATCTCCCATCACGCTGCTGCATCATATAATCAAACAACATTTGCGTTGGTAACAATTATCCAACAGTCCACTAATTATAATAGGTTCACCATAGCTTTATAGAATGCAATCACAAATTCTTTGGATATGAAATATCACTTTCAGATGGATTAATTGTGAAAAGGGTAAAATACTAAAATGTCAAGAACGATAACGAATGTGCACATATATAATATTCTATATAAAAAGGATGGAATCTATTGATTTATTTTTGAGCCCGTCGTTATCTATGATGATTGCTTGTATTGCTCAATCTAATATATAAGCTGGTTTGGCCACTGTCCCTATTATATTTTCTTTTGATTTACTTGTGGTAAAAATAGAGTTTTTTTTTTAAAAAAAAAATAAAAAATACAAGTGATAGCTTTTGGTATTTCATAATTTTATGTGTTTATTTCTAGTGTTTGATAACTCTATATATCCAATTCTAGTACTTCCCAATAGTAATCATTAAATTTATATTTCTATCCATACTTAATAGCACTTTTAAATTATAACATATTTTGTCAACTTAAAATTGTACTTACATTTTGAAATTTAATATTTATAATTATTATCAGAGACGGATGTACATAAGGCCTGGGCTGGGCTGAAGCCCAGGCCTATTTTTTTTTTTTTAACTACTATTAACTTGGTTTTTTATTTTTATTTTTTTATCTTAGCCCAGTCCAATAAAAACAAATAACAACAAAGCCCAAACATACAACCAACTTCTTAAATTCTCCTAAGCCTGCTCGCTCACCCCCTCATGACAGAGTAAGAATTTTGTTCCCTTCTTCCCTCTCAATTCTCTCTTCAGTCTGCGGACTGCTTTCACTCACCGGCGGCCGAAATCCATCATCAACTAGTCGACCAGCCATCACTTCCACTCGGCCATCCGATAAAAGGTACCAAAAAAAAATTATATTTACTTTACAAACCCTAGATGGCTAGATTACGTATTGCGAAGGGACAAAATATCATATGAGGTTTAATTATTGTGTGAAACATTCATGATAGAGTGCTTGTTCTTGAAAAGAAACGAGAAATTTGAACCCAGAAGCATTCAAAATATTACTATCTCTGTGATTTTTAATTTATTTAATTTCTTTTTTCTGGATTTTGAGCAATTGGGTGTTGAGATCTAGCATTTGCTTCAAAATTTGTTTAGTTTTTATACTCAGATGAGCCTACATTTGATCAATTTATGAACCAGAGTATTTTTTTAATTTTTTAAATTATCATGTTATTGTTTCAGTTTTGTCTAAATATGTCTAGTAATATCACTTTTGTTTCAATTTTTATACTAATATGTAGCAAATTGCCAATATCATTTGTAGACAGATCTATTTATCAAAGATATGGTGTCTACCAATGTTATTTTTTTTGTATATTTTATGATGTTTGTTTGAGTTTCATTTCTTTTGCCATTTTTTTTTTATTTTCATTTTTGAAGTGAATGTAGAAATTATTGGGAAAGTGAATATTAGTTCTGAATAGAATGTTTGAACTTAAGATGAAGATTTAATTATACTAAGAGCCACCTTTGAGAGATTTCTCATTTTTGGTTTGGTATAAGATTATTTATTTTTTTTTTATTTTTTTAGATTTTGCACTTTTAGTAGACAATTTATTTGGTGCAAGTTCGTTTTTTAAAGGTTGATCATATGAGTATAGAACGGTTGATCATATTTGGCGCAAGTTCATTTCTTATGTGATTTTTTTTTATGAAAAATGAGTATTTAAAGTTCTAGCTCAGTATATTCTTAATTTCTAGATCCGTCCCTGTATATATATATATGTGTGTGTGTGTGTAGATTTAATACTAATAAGTAATACCTTAATACTACTAATTTTATTTTATTTCTAACAAGTAGTTTATATATAAATATTGATTTGTTTTGTTGGGTGGCTGGGCTTTATTCATACCAATATGGCCCGTGAGTATGGATAATTATTTGTAGCCCAACGTCCATTCCGATCATTATTTACTAATGAGGTTAGGCCCAACAGTTTAATCTCCTCGCTGTGTCGTGTTCACAAATATGAACCATCTCGTGGTCTCCCATCTCACTCTTCACTCTTAGCCCGCCGCTGCCGCTGCCGCTGCCGCTGCCGCTGCCGCTGCTCAACCTCTCTCTCTGCCCGTGCGTCGCTCTCTGTCTCTCCAACCACCGGCCTGCCGCTTCCCTTAAGTCAGGTAAGCTCTTGCTCTCGCCTCTCCGACTGTCTCACTCTATCAGTCTATCTCTCGCTATCCCTCCGGCTTAACCTCTCAAATTGTGTAATTTTCCGGCGGCTAGCCCCAATTTCGGTCACTTGCAGACTTGTAGAGTTGTAGTCAGCCCCAATTTCGTTCTTTTTTTGCAAACTTAAGCTTGGATGGATGTTAATGTTTATTTTGGATGTTTCATTTGGAATTGAGTATGGAGACTGAAGTATTTTAATTGTTGTGCTAATTTGGAATTGTGTATTGAGACTAAAGTGTTAATTTTTAAGATGTTGTCTCATCTCTGTACCATGTTGTTACAATTTTTTTTATTTTTTATTTTTTTTATTTTTTTTTTCTTCTGGTTATTTGCGGTTAACCGAACCAAAACCGCACTGAAACAGAAAATTTCGTTGTGGTTTCGGTTCAGTTTGTTCTCCATAACGGTGCGTTTCTGTTTGGACTCTTGAAAATTTCGGTTTTCCATTTTTTGCGGTTCGGTTCGGTGCACCGTTGCTCACCCCTATTCGTTTATATGCTGTCTAGGTTTTTGACTAATTTGTGATATAAATGCACATAGAACGCCCCCATTGTTGTGTTTTTTTCACTTCACTAAATTGTTGCCTTTTTTATGTTCGTATGGAGGTGTTGGGAGGATTCTATATCTTGGGCACTTTGTTTGTTGTTCGTCGATTTTTGTTGGACTTTGTATTCGTAAGTAGTTGAAAAAATTATGCCGTGTTTTTTATTTTAGTTGTTTGCCAATTTTGAAATGTTATATTTTGAATTATAAGACTATTGGTGTGTTTGTTGGCTTGTTAGAATATGAGACTATTTTAACTTTTGCTCCAATATAGTATGACTTAACGAGGTAAATAAAGTGCAAATAAAATCATAGGACATGTCAAGTGGGGTCGACCCGCCCCAATTGCCCAACTGAATAAAATCCTGTAATGTTGTATAAGTCTAACTTGAGAAGCTAGAGGATTAGAGAGGTTCGAATTAAGTGTTGTTCAGCAAAACACAACAACAAAAACTAAATGTAAAACGTGGGATGTAAATTTTATTGAGTTGTGTAATTCGTATAAATTGAGTAGTATTGGGTTGCAGGTTTTACTTCACCTTTGCAGGATAATTATGTTTGAAAGGATTACATATCACACGCCTCCAAGATTTTGATGAACATCCATAAACTTTTCATGAACCCATTTTATACGTTTTTATGCGATGCAAAGTTTTGTCTATCTCAAATTTGGGCCGATTTTGTTGGATGTCACCCCTTGCTTATTAATTTACAGCCAATATATCGCAAAAATCCTGACGGTGTCAAAATTTCTTCGTAAACCCGCCCACACAATCTCTCTCAGGAAAGACAAACTGCTATGGCGGAGAAGAAACAACTGATTGCCTTAGGTTTCGAGGGCTCTGCCAACAAGATCGGTGTTGGGGTAGTGACTCTGGACGGCACCATTCTTTCCAATCCACGCCATACTTACATAACTCCGCCGGGACAAGGCTTTCTCCCTAGGGAAACTGCCCACCACCACCTCGACCACGTGCTACCGCTCGTAAAATCGGCATTGCAGGAGGCCAAGATCACTCCAGAACAAGTTGACTGCCTCTGCTACACGAAAGGTCCTGGCATGGGTGCCCCACTTCAGGTAGTTACTTTTTCGTGCTCCTCGTAATTTTGATACCACATATGTTTGATTTGTAGATAACTTTTTTGTTCTAGAAAGAAACTAATAAAATTTGGTAATAGAGTTTCACTTACAATGCTGCTAGTTTTATATGCCGTTCGAGGTAATTCATAATTGTTCGAAGTTCTTTGATTTTTTTATTTTTTTTAAGCTATGTGGTTTGTTTGGATATTTCCCCCCCATTCAAGAAAGTGGGGATTAGACCGGCACTTAAATGGATTTGGAAAAATTTGCAAATATGCCACCTTTTCACCTTCTCTTTACAAAAAATGGGCGTCTTGGTGTGATGTTACTCGTTTTGCGTTGTAGTTTAGGTCATGCAAGATAAAAGTGGAGTTTTTGCAAATACAAAGACAAAAAAAGTTACATATTTGCCAATCTTCTCTAATAGATTTTTAATGACTTGAATATATGATTAATGCATACTGCTATGGTGGACTTTGCGAAGGTTTCCTAATTGCTACTGTGGTTATAATTTGCCTTGTTGTACACTTTCTAATCTATTATGGGTTTAAAGGGCAATTCCTCATAACATACAAATTAACATTTCTTGTTTACAAGATAGAGCCTGATGTGTCTGTACCTGAAGGTTATAATTGTATCTACAGCTGAAGCTAGTATCTATAATATATTTATTTTCCTTTCAGTAGTTTTTGGTATACCGTTTGTTTGCTGTGTTTAATTTGTAACTGTGGTGCACAATCTTGCCAAGTATTCATGTGTACGTATTGTTCTTGAAAGAATTACTACTGCTTTCTGGAAATGAGATTTTTCTGTTTCTTTCTTTAATGCCTTACGAATGGAGCTTAGTTCTGAGCTGTTGTTCCCATGTCAGGTATCGGCCATAGTTGTCCGCATCCTATCACAACTTTGGAAAAAACCAATTGTTGCCGTTAATCATTGTGTGGCACATATTGAGATGGGGAGAATCGTGACCGGGGCTGATGATCCCGTTGTGTTGTATGTGAGTGGGGGAAATACTCAGGTTATTGCATATAGTGAGGGGCGATACCGTATTTTTGGCGAGACAATAGATATTGCAGTTGGAAATTGCTTGGATAGATTTGCTAGGGTTCTCACGCTTTCAAATGATCCCAGCCCTGGATATAACATCGAGCAGGTAACAGTTAAAAATTCGATTCATTAGCCAATAATATGGATTCATTATTATGTTTGTCTGTCCACATTATTGTGTTTGGGATTTTCAATTTGGACTCAATGTTACCTGAAATTTGTATTCAGCTTGCGAAGAAGGGGGAGAAATTTATCGATCTCCCATATGTTGTCAAGGGAATGGATGTTTCGTTTAGTGGGATTTTGAGCTACATTGAAGCCACTGCTAATGAGAAGCTTAAAAATAACGAATGCACTCCTGCAGACTTGTGTTATTCACTTCAAGTAAGTTTTTTCATCGAGTAACTAACATCACATGATGAGAGCAGCCATTTCAAAAGATTTTCCCCTTAAAACATCAAACTCTTTTTTTTTTTTCCTTTTAGGAAACCTTGTTTGCAATGCTTGTGGAGATCACTGAACGAGCCATGGCTCATTGTGACACAAAAGATGTTCTGATTGTTGGGGGAGTGGGTTGCAATGAGCGTTTACAGGAGATGATGCGAACTATGTGTGGTGAAAGGGGCGGGAAATTATTTGCTACTGATGATCGATATTGCATTGACAATGGAGCAATGATTGCTTATACGGGCTTGCTTGCGTTTGCTCACGGCATAACAACTCCTCTCGAGGAATCTACTTTTACCCAAAGGTTCAGAACAGATGAGGTGTTGGCAGTTTGGAGAGGGAAGGAACATTCAGCTAAAGAGGTACTGTAAGGGCTGATTAAAGACTTTTATTTATGGTTGTGAAATCCTTTTTTGTTTTTTTGGCATAATTTATCCGGAGAATATGTTTGCATGCCGTTGTTAAAATTTGCCCAATAACTTATTGGGAACATTTAAGAGTGGATCAATTTCGAACCAAATAATTGGCGCATTTGGAATGGAAATTGGACAAAATAAACTAAAATTACAGAATTATTGAGCCAATTTCAGCGCAAGAAATTATTGGAGAACATAGAAAATACTTTAAGTTAGTAGACTAAAATTGCAATTTTCTCTTATAATTATGTCTTTTTATTATAAAAATATGACGTATCAACTGATCTAATAATTATTAGTCACCTTACACAAGAATTTGCGTTAATGTTGTCATGATAGAAATTCATTGAACACAAACATGAAAGAGTATGGCCGCTTAACACACTAATTAAAAAAAAATAGAAACATAAATAAATAAATCAAGAGTCACTAGTTTTTACACTCACCAAAACTTCAAACATAGAAATAAACCAAGGTATGAATCCAATAGCAACCAACGAACATGAACAAAAAAAAAAAAACCCTAACCCTAAAACTACATCCCGAGAAGATCGTCGAGCAATTTATCGTCATAATACTCGAGCTCGATAACTTCCCGTCCCCCAAGCCCCGTCTCTCCTCGACTTTCACAATCCGATGGGCACGAATCATAAGAAGAATTCGCATGGCCATAATCGACCCTACTCGACTTACACATGTGGGGCCCCGGATTCCGATACTGCCCTTCGTTCGGAAAGTTGAGAATCGCCAGGTGGCCCCGGAGCGCGTAGGCCGCCCGATCGTACGCTCGAGCGGCCTGCTCGGCTGACTCGAACGTGCCGAGCCACATGCGGGCCCCGTTTTTGTTCGGTCTCGAATTTCGGCCGCAAATTTTCCCCAAGGTCGGCGGCGAATGCCCCGGTATCTTAATTCCTTTTGCCCATCTTTAGTTGGTTCCATTTACAATATGCTATATATGTGTATGGAGATTTTGTTAGTGCTAAGATTTGTTTTAGGGTTTATTTTTGGGTTTCTAGCTATAATAATTGTATGAAGGGACTAGGGTTACTAATGTGCATGTATATATGTGTGATGGTCAATGTATTGAGGTCAGGCATGACGGGTTTGACTTTGAAATTTTGAATTAGTGTACAGTGGGGATGAATTCTTGGACAGGGATTTTGAGAAAAGGTCTATATGAAAATTATTAATTTCTTTATTTTATTTTTGAATTATGTATATCACCAGGTGGAATTAATTCTATAACTAGGTTTATAGAATGCCACATATATATGTACAACACACATGCACGCTATGTATTTCGAATTCAATATTCATATGCATGTGTCCCATTTTAGTTTGTTTTATGGTTAGTCATTTTGAATCAAGTTAATTAATTAAATCTGATAAATTTCGTTCGTGTTTGGTTTTGTTCATTAAAACTTTAAGCCGTTTACAAATGTTGCTGTGGATTGAAAATATTTTATCTCAATTTTTTGAATTGAAAAAGGTTACTGTATGTGTGCATTTTTTTCCCAAAAACTGTAAAGAATTTTACAAATAGTAGAATTGTAGAAAAGTGGGGAGAAAAAAAAAAAACAGTAACGTTTTCAATTAGTTTTTGGTCATAAAGACGTGCTAAGATCATCAAGTTGTAACTTGTTTGTGAGATAAATTGTGGACGCCGCCCAAGTGGCAGCCCGTTTTTTCTTTTAAACCATAAAATATTACATTAATTATAATTAAAAAAACTGCCGCAATGAAGTAAATGAAGAGAAAAAAAAATCCTTAAAACTTACACCCGTTGCCAAGAGAATATATAATTAGAAACAAACACACACAAGACACTAAACAAACCAGAGAATTATAATACACAATTCTAAAGTCTAAAACACTTCAATAAAACAGACTATATATGAAAAGACAAACACAAAATGGGGTGTGTTATTTTATTTACTAATTTTTTCTCTGTATTTCTTAAAAAATTTAGTAAATGTTATTTCTTAAAAAAGTTGAAGTTTGCTATGATTGTAAATGAGTTTAAAATTATGGTAGTAGAACTACTGACATAAAAGTATGAAAAGTTTAACAATTGCACAAAAAAAAAATATAAATGAAGAACAAAGTACACAATAAGCTAGGACCAATATTTATGAAGGTGTTGACATCCGAGTTCGCCGATGAGACCGAACCGGACAAATTCCGAGAGCCTAACCGGGGACCCGGTCCACCCATAAAAGTGCCGAGCTGGACCGAAAAATTTCATGACCCGGACGTTCCCGTGAGCTCGTCTGTCAGTCCGGCGTTTTCGACTACGAAGCCTAGATGCCGACCTGAAGAGTGACGGTCTGGAAGAACGGTTCCCTAGGGCCGGAGGGACAAATAGAGAAAAGGTGCCGACCTAGGAGTCCCGGGACGGGCTACTGTAGTGAAGGTGTCGACCTCGATAGTATTATAATAATGCCACTTGGAGGGTAATCATTGGCTAATGGATGGGACGCCTTAGCCTGTTGACCTATCCCCCCCCTAGCCAAGACATAAAGCCTGCCGGCATTAAATGCCTGTCAGACAATGATGAGGAAAACCTCAAATCGCATTTAATGCTGTCAGGGAGGCGCCGGGTTGTCCTGCAAGAACACTGTACGACAAGACTGATGAACAGTATCTGAACAGTGCCACATTTAAGGCTACTATAAATAGCAACCCTTCTCATTTATTTTTGGTTGTTGAAATCCCAACTACTCAAGCCCATATTTTCTCTCTCTAAAGAACTTGTAAGAAACTCGTGTAAGCAATATAAGTATATCGCAAGTGCCGACCTCGTACGAGAGGCCGAACTCGTGATCCATTAATAAAACCGTAATTAAACCGTATTTCCTCGTCTCTTCTCCGTTTTCTTTACGTTATTTGACTTTTTAACCGTTGACCGGAAACGTCCGTCAACAGTTTGGCGCTAGAAGAAGGGCATCATAAGTTATTTGGTGTCAACTTTTCGATCTTGTGAAACTCCATTTCGCACTCATCTCTCCCACACTTTTTCTCTCGAAAACAAGTCAAAATGACTTCATCTGGACGCGACGACTCTACCCAGCAGTCCGGCTCCCAGTCTCGCCGCCGCAACGGTGGGGAGTCCTCCCGTCGCATTCAGCAGGGGCCCATCGTCCCCATACCCCCAGTTCCTACTTTCGCTGCGGCTTTGCAGCACCCCGACGTCCTCAAAGCCCTCGAGGGGGTCTTCGCCAAGGCCCTCGCCAGTCAAACCGCCGGGGCAAACACTGCGGTGCCCACTGAGAACCCCGGCAACACTTTGCTCCACACCCCTGAAAAGGAGATCGGTGGACAAAGGAACCCAGCAAAATCCAAAACCACGGCCCAATCCCCGAACCGTGAGGCCCAGAACCGCCGCGACAGGAGTGCCAGACCGGCTCCCACGGAACAGACAGGGGAGAGCCGGCCGGAGGGAAGCCTCCCGGTCGTTCGCCGCTCTGTCCACCAGCGCCTAGGTGACAAGAGCCACGCCAACCATGACCTTCGGGAGGTGATCAAGCGGGGCAAAGCTATCGGCCACGACACTGAGGAAGTCGCGGCCCTCAAACGCAGAATTGCCGAGCTTGAAGGTCGGCAGCCCGCTGGAAGTGAGTTCTCACTCCCAGCTCACCAACCCACCCGTACGCGACCGACACCTCGGGTCGCGGACAACGCCTCGCCTCTCTCCCTTGACATCCTACAAGAGGCTGTCCCGAAGGGGATACAAATACCCCAGCTCGGCCTCTATGACGGGAGCTCGGATCCCGACTCACACCTCGGCCTCTACACCTCGTGGATGGACCTGCACGGCGCCTCCGACGCCCTGCGCTGTCGCATGTTCTCCTTGACGTTGCGGCCTAAGGCGCAGAGGTGGTACCATTCCTTATACCCCCGCTCCATCTCGACCTGGGCGCAGCTCGGATCGGCGTTCCGGTCCCACTTCATAGGATCGCAGATCAATCTCGCCCCCAAGGAATCGATCTCCAACATCGTACAGGGTGAGACTGAGAGTTTGAAGGACTACATCGCCAGGTTCAATGACCGGGTCCAAAATATGGAGCGGTGCCACCCCGACGCCCTGCTCATCACGGCCCAGGGCGGACTCAGACCAAAGACGCTGTTCAGATGGTCCCTGTGCCAGAACAAGCCGACCACCTACCAAGAGTTCCTCACCCGCGCCCAGGAATACATCATGGCGGAGGAATCATCATCCATCCCGACCTTCGACGCCACACCGGCGCCGGCACCAGCAAAGGCGAAAACAAAAGAGGAGAAGTCGGGAAAGCCAAGCAAGTCCTTTGCTGAGATCCGAGCTCAGCGGAGACAGAGGGCCGAAGAGCTCAAAGAAAGCTATCAGGGCGTCTTCTCGGTGGGTGCCGCGGCAATCTACGAGGAAATCAAGGCCAAGGGGTTATTACCGGACCCCAAGCCGATGTTCACCGACAAGGACAAAGTAGACAAGACCCGCTACTGCACCTACCACAAGGCGCACGGGCATAATACTGATCAGTGCCGGAATTTGATCTCGGCACTTCTGAAGCTGATCGATGACCCACAACTTCGGAAATTCACCCACTCCGGAGATAAGAGAAAGAAAGGGGGACGTTTTGAGGAAAGCCCAGACAGTGACGAGGATGCCGATGTAAATCCTCGGAGAAAGAAGCCGCAGCAGGGCGGCCCTCACGAGATCATGACCTTCTGTCCCACCCACCAAGACGAGGCCGGCACCTCTAGGGGCAGAAAAAGAGACCGGTCCCCACGCACCGGGGCCGACCCAGCCAACTACCCATCCCGGCGGGTCAACACCAGCCGGGGAGAATCCTTCCTCTCCCGGAGACAGACCAAGGCCTACGCCCGACAGGCCTACCATGCCGGGCAAAGGGTGATGCACGCCCACAGCAGGCCGGCACCGGAGCCGACCCCAAACACCATCACCTTCAACGATGAAGATGCCTTCCTGTTCGACCATCCCCACTCCGACGCCCTGGTGATCACGGCGCCGATCATGGCAATTAAGATCCATCGCATCATGGTCGACACCGGGGCCTATGCCAGCATCCTTTATTACGAAACCTTCAAGAAGATGGGGATTGACAGGAAGGAGGTGCAGCCCTGCCGGGAGCGAATCCAAGGCTTCAACGGCCAGACCATCGCCCCAGTCGGGCAGG